GGGCCTGAGGGCTTCTGCCCTAAGGGTAGACTAGCTTGTTAGCCTAGAAAAAAATAAATCTAGTTTAGCTGGGGGTTTTTTTAGCAGCAAAGCTTGATTTTTGTTAGACATTGATTTTACAGAGGTGCTGCTGTTGCTGCAGTGCTGTTTCATTCTGAGTGCTAATAGAGAAAGTTAGTTTTCTGTCAGTCTCAGCTGGGTTTTTAAAACAACTACAAGCACAGAGTCACAGTGACTGACCGACTGATTTTTGTGTCACTCACTCATTCAGTGGCATACACATGACCCATGGGGCAAAAATTGATCTGTGGGCCCCCTCCCCCCCACGCGCTTACACACACCTAAAGGACCACTACAGACACCCAGATCACATCAGCTCAATGAAGTGGTCTGGGTGCCAGGTCCCTCTAGTTTTAAAGGACCACTATAGTGCCAGGAAAACATGTTAGTTTTCCTGGCACTATAGTGCCCTGAGGGTGCCCCCACCCTCAGGGACCCCCTCCCGCCCGGCTCTGGAAGGGGGAAGGGTTAAAACTTACCTTTTTCCAGCGCTGGGCGGAGAGCTCTCCTCCTCCAATCCTCCTTCTCTCCTCCCCGTCGGCTGGCTGCGTGCGCATTCAGCCGGTCACATAGGAAAGCATTCATAAAATCACAGTGAGAAGCACGCAAGCGCCTCTAGTGGCTGTCAGTGAGACAGCCACTAGAGGAAATAGGGGAAGGCTTAACCCATTGATAAACATAGCAGTTTCTCTGAAACTGCTATGTTTATGAAAAAATGGGTTAACCCTATCTGGACCTGGCACCCAGACCACTTCATTAAGCTGAAGTGGTCTGGGTGCCTAGAGTGGTCCTTTAACCCTGCAGCTGAAAACATAGCTGTTTCAGAGAAACGGCTATGTTTCACTTGAGGGTTAATCCAGCCTCTGGTGGCTGTCTCATTGACAGTCGCCAGAGGAGATTCCGCGATTCTCACTGTGAAAATCACAGTGAGAAGACACTGAATGTCCATAGGAAAGCATTGAGTAATGCTTTCCTATGGGTGGTTTAAATGCGCGTGCGCCTCTTGCCGCGCATGTGCATTCGGAGCTGAGAGGCGGCAGGATCCCCAGCGCCAAGGAAGTCCGGCGCTGGTGAAAGGTAAACGCTGAAGACACACACTCTCACGAACAGATGCATACACACTAGCTAACAGACACACATTTACTAACAGAGACACACTCATCGACAGACATACATACACACTCACTTACAAAACATACACTTTCACTGACAAACACACACTCACTAACAGACATCAGACACTCAGTAACAGACACACTCAGTAACAGACACACTAACACACACACACACACACTAACACTAACACACACTAACGCATGTTTTTTTTAAATTGAATCCCCCCAGCCTCCTTACCTTTTGGGGTGCTGGGGGGATTCCCTGGGGTCCAGTGGTGCTGCTGCTGGGCTCCTGGGCGGGTTGTTTGGGTGGCCGGCGCGCGAGGGAGCACTTTCCTCTCAGTGCTTCCTCTTCAGCTCCCTCGCGCGCCGCGTAGGGATGCCGGAGCCGGAAGATGACGTCATCTTCCGGCTCCGGCATCCCTACGCGGCGCGCGAGGGAGCTGAAGAGGAAGCACTGAGGGGAAAGTGCTCCCTCGCGCGCCGGCCACCCAAACAGCCCGCCCGCTGGGGTCAGCAGGGCCAGCCTCGGGGGGCCCTGAGGTGGCCGGCTCCTGGGCCCCCCAGGAGAAGAGGCTGGCCCTGTGGCTACATACCAGGTCGCAGGGGCGGCCGGGCACCCTGGTGGGCCGGGCCCGGTCGCAGCCGCGACCCCTGCGACCCTGGTATGTACGCCACTGCACTCACTCACTGACTATGTATGCTTGATTTGCAGGCAGTGTAAAAAGTAAAGTAATTATTTTTATTCAGTTAATAGAATTATCTTCAGTTTTAATGAAGACATTTTTATTAAAGGACCAACTATACTGCCAGGAAAACATACTCGTTTTCCTGGCACTATAGTGCCCTGAGGGTGCCCCCACCCTCAGGGACCCCCTCCCACCGGGTTGGATGGCGAAGAAACTTACCTTTATTCCAGCGCCGGGCAGGGAGCTCTCCTCCTCCTTTCCGCCTCCGATCCTCCTCTTTGGCTGAATGCGCATGCGCGGCAGGAGCTGCGCACGCATTCAGCCGGTCTCTTAGGAAAGCATTTACAATGCTTTCCTATGGACGCTTGCGTGTTCTCACTGTGATTTTCAATGAGACAGCCACTAGAGGATTTGGAGGCTGGATTAACCTATTTATAAACATAGCAGTTGCTCTGAAACTGCTATGTTTATAAAAAAAAGGGGTTAATCCTAGAGGGACCTGGCACCCAGACCACTTCATTAAGCTGAAGTGGTCCGGGTGCCTAGAGTTGTCCTTTAAGTTGATAGAATTATTTACAGTTTAAAATATATATTTGTTGTAGTACAGTTTCTTTGTGCTTTGTTAGAACAGAACACACTAGTCAAACAGCCTAATTTCTGTTTTACATTTTTCACACTTTTAGTGTCTTTTTTTTTGTGCTCACATCAACGTCATCAGTGAAGTTAACTGTTCTGACTGCTGTTGTGAAGAAATAACTTTTCATTAACTGATTATTAGTTCAGTTAGTGTGTTTAACAGCAATCAGTGAAGCTAACTGGTTGCTGTTTTTATTTGGTTTATTTTAGTTCCTGATAGATTGACCATGTGACTGTCCTAAGCTAAGCTTCAAGGTAGCTGTAGTAAATCTTTTATTATTTTTAGTATTAGCAGATGTTGTAGGTTCCTTCTAATTTAAATAATAGTAATCTAAAGTATAGTTAACCCATTTTTTAAAAAACACTAACTTTTTCTAATAATAATACATTTTTTCATACTCTGCAGTAGTCGAGCAGGGAGCACTTGTTGGCAGACTGCTCACGGCAAACAGTGCAGTTTTGCATAGTTTCTCAGAAAGCACTAGAGTGAAGAAATGTGCCTCAGTACTAGTTTCTATTTTTTTTTTTTAACCTGTGTTGATCTATATATCAGCATAGTTCAAAACTTAAAATAGTCTTTTAATAAAAATATAAACTTTAGTTTCAAAACACTACATTACATTATCTCTTTATTTTCTTCAACTTCTTTTCTTTCCTTACTATTTGAAAATTCTAAATGGATCCTAGTAAAGTAAGGGAGGATCAGTCAGCCACCAATACCACCACCGCCACCACAAGTAGTGGTAGTTTGAGTAGGCAACCTAGGCGTCAGCTTAAGCGGTCAAGGAGTGCTGCTATGTCAGACTCACCGCCTAGGATGGCAAAGTCTTTGTCTCGCATTTCAGGCCCGTTGGTGCAAGATCCTGGTCAAGGAAAGGCACCAATAGCAGGCAGCAGTGCAGCAAGGCCCAGAACCACAAGTATTTTCTATGGTAAAGCGAAACCAGCAGGGCTTTTTAGGGTGAGCACTATGGCTAGTACTATTACTAAAAACACAACTAGTAGTAGGAGTAGCCCAATAAGTAAGAGGAAGCGTGTTTCGCCCCCAGCATCTTCTTCTACCACAAGCAGGCCTGTGAGTCGTGTTGCTAAGAAGCTTCCTTCTTGTACACGGAGGCTGTTTTCTAATCCCCCTCCCAAGACCACCACCACCAGTGCTGCACCTGCTTCTACCACTGACAGGAGTTGTTGCCAATGCTACCCCGTGCTCCTAGTCCTATTATTCCTGGAGGTGATATCAGTCTTACCCCAGCCTTGCATAGTCTGGCTGATGAAGAGCTTGACTATGAGCCTGAGAGTGAGGAGGAGATAGTAGAGGAGAGTCAGAATTCTTCAGGGAGTTTCTCCTGCTACTAGTGCACATTTTTCCACTTCCTCTCCACTTTCTCCAATAGTAGCACCTGCTAGTGCTACTTCAACCATTAGCAGACCACCACCACAATTATTACCATCAATAATTACCACTACTATTTCCAGGTGCACTGTTCCTCCTCGCAGTGGCACAGTTACCACCACCAGTGTAACTGTGCCAACAATCACCACCACCACTGGTACTACTAGCTACAGTACCAGTGCAGAGGCTACTGTGCCAGCTCCCAGTAGTTGCACTCCTGCTGCTGCTCATCAACCTGCACCATTAGCAGCAGAATCCCAAAGGGCAGGCGCCAATGTTTTGCGCTGCAAAGTTTGGGATCACTTTGAAAGTGTTGGAGATGGGCGCTTTGCAAAGTGCAAACTTTGTGGGAAGGAAGTTAGCAGGGGGAGAGTGTTAGGTCATCTCACCAGTGCCGGGATGAACCATCACCTTTGCAGTTATCACAAAGCTGTGTTATTGAGGGAAGAGGCAGAAAGTACTAGGGCAGGCAGCAAAGCTGCTACTATTACAATGTTAAGTACCATGGCAGTTAGGAGTGACAGGGGAGTTGTTGCAGAGCCAAGAGCTACTGGTGCTGCCAGCCAACAACCAAGGCTGGTTGGAGTGTCACAATGCATCCAGCCCACCATGGAACAATTTGGGGGATTCCACTGCAGGGCTAAGTCTAAACAGCAGCCCAATAATATCACGCAACTTATTTGCCAGTTAATTGCAGTTGGGGGTGCTTCCTTTTCAATACCGTCTTCCCTCACGCTCCACTTTCAGCAGGAGGATAGTCCCTTCGCTTTACCGGTCCTGTGTTGGAGTAGTGAAAAGGGAGCTTTCGAAGGTTGCTGGTCAGTCTGTGCATTTTACCACAGATTTGTGGAGTGCACCAAGTGACCAGCACACCTTTCTTTCCCTGACAGCACACTGGTGGGAGCCTGGTGTGTCTCAGGAAGCTGCTGCTGCAACTTCAACAGCAGCAGCAGTGTTTAGCAGAAAGGGAGAAATTGTATCTGTATCTATAGATCTTTCCTTCTCCATGCTGAAGTGATGGATGAAAAAACACACTTCAGATAACATTCTGCAGGCAGTAAGGAGGATGGTGTCTCTTTGGGTTGGAGCGGAGGCAGGCACCAATGTAGAAGTGGGGTTTGTGGTTACTGATGGAGCTTCAAATATGGTGAAAGCTCTGCGTGATGGTAACCTTGCTGGTGTGCGCTGTGCAGCGCACATTATCCATCTAGTAGTCAAGTCAACAATCCCAGAAGGCAATAACAGAGTTTCCAGTGTGATTGAAAGGTGCAGGAGGATTGCTGGGCACTTCCACCGCAGTGTGATGGCTAGCCAACTGTTGAGACAGGAACAAGAGAAGGCAGGTCTTCTCCCACACTGTCTATGACAAGATGTCAGTACATGGTGGAACTCTACTGTGGATATGCTGGAGAGGATTTTACCGATGTACTGGAATCAGACCAGTACATCATTATTGGTTCTCCACTAGGTAGAGACGATTGGAAACCATTCAGGGATGCCACTGAAAATTTAAGAATGAACACTGCCAATCTGGGACAGGTAATCTCTGTTTTCACCCATCTAGGGAGCAAGATGGGTGTCTTCCTTGAACACCAAGAGGTTGTTCAAGGTGACCCTTTACATCCTGATGTAGTAACTTAAAGTTCGCCTATGTGAGCGAATTGATAATTCTCCTGAACTGATGCTAGCGTGCCTGTGTGATCCAAGGATTAAGGGAAAGCTTGCACTAAGATCCAATAGCCTAACAACTTGTAGGGATAAACTGATCCAGAGGGAGTGTGACTGGCAGCAAAAGAGGGGAATGCTGTCTGAGGGAGTAGTTCAGCAGGAGGCTGAGATGTTGGCTACTTCTAGCAGAACCACTACCACCACCACCACACAACTGAGTGGAGCAGCTGCATTTTGGGAAGAGTTGCTTGAGGATATAGTTGGACCCACTGAGAGTGATAGCAGCAGAAAGGAGAGTACTTTGGTTGCTTCACCTAAGTGTTGCTTCTAAGTGTGTAGTTGGAGATATTCTGGAGAGTTTTACAGAAGCTTCAACTGTCTAAGAGTTGTGCTAAGAGCTTTCTTTTCTACTGTTACAGGTAAGATTCATCTGTAGGAAAAGGTTACTGATTGCACAAGGTTTGAATTCCTGTTGGTAATTATAAGGCATTTGATTTGATTAAGCTAGTTACATGCTATTGATTGCTGGTTTTAACCCCATAAGGACAGAGCCAAATGTACACGTGAACAAAACAAAATGTAAACAAAACCTGGCATCTGCGCTACACGTCTGTCCAACCGTAATTCCCCTCTTTCATATTAAATATTTAAATATATAAAGGGAATCAACACAGTAAAGGAGGAGACTATATTTAAAAGAAGAAAAACCACAACAAGAGGACATAGTCTTAAATTAGAGGGACAAAGGTTTAAAAATAATATCAGGAAGTATTACTCAACTGAGAGGGTAGTGGATGCATGGAATAGCCTTCCAGCTGAAGTGGTAGAGGTTAACACAGTAAAGGAGTTTAAGCATGCGTGGGATAGGCATAAGGCTATCCTAACTATAAGATAAGGCTAGGGACTAATGAAAGTATTTAGAAAATTGGGCAGACTAGATGGGCCGAATGGTTCTTATCTGCCGTCACATTCTATGTTTCTATGCCATGGAGCCCATTCGTATAACGAAAGACTATGGGAAAGACTTTGGCTCCATGGCAATTGAACTTTATGTGTGTGATCTGAGCGCCATTCACCAATAATGTGTGCTCAGATCTGAGCTATCTGGGGATATATGTACCTGTTTTATGCAACCATAAAACTGTTTTATAACACAGTTATATATTTTTATGTATTTTATTGTCTTTTGCTGCCATGTGTTCAATGGAGTTTTGCCTCTGTCCTTGGAGATAATTGGATTACTTCCTAATTATCTCCAGGATAGAAGACTCTGTGGAACTGGTTTTGGGCAGAAAAGCCATGCTTCATTTGGTCAAAAAGGACTATGATCTATCTTTTGAACCATTGGACCAATTTGTATGAATTTGACATATGTTTGTATTTGGAGTATGCTGATTCGTTTATGTGAATGTGATGCATACTTTTAAAATTATGAATAATGTGGAAAAACTGTATTTCTCTGCATGTGATAATTACATTACCCATTGTGTAAGGTAATTGTATCACAGGCAGAGGGGAGGAATTTGTGTGGGAGTGTCTGAGTGTATTGTACGTGTTTATTGGTTGTTTTCCAAAACCCTGTGGGTGGTACTAATGTGTAAGAATGTGAATATAAGAACAATAAACCCACAGCTGTCTGTTCCTGCTTGACCCTCAAAACAGAGCCTTGTCTCGTTCTTGGGGGGACTTGTTGTATGCTGTTCCAGTTCGAAAAGTGTAAACCTATTCGTATGGTTTTTCCTATTTGGCTGTTTACACAATGGGTACTGTAATTATCACAGGCAGAGAAATACAGTTTTTCCACATTCATAATTTTAAAAGTATGCATCACATTCACATTTTCAGAATCAGCATACTCCAAATACAAACATATGTCAAATTCATACAAATTGGTCCAATGGTTCAAAAGATAGATCATAGTCCTTTTTGACCAAATGAAGCATGGCTTTTCTGCCCAAAACCAGTTCCACAGAGTCTTCTATCCTGGAGATAATTAGGAAGTAATCCAATTATCTCCCAGGACAGAGGCAAAACTCAATTGAACACATGGCAGCAAAAGACAATAAAATACATAAAAATTTATAACTGTGCAGCCATTGCATAAAACAGGTACATTCAACATATCCCCACATAGCTCAGATCTGAGCGCACATTATTACTGAATGGCGCTCAGATCACACACATACAGTTCAATTGCCATGGAGCCAAAGTCTTTCATTATACGAATGGGCTCCATGGCATAGCTATCTGGGGTATCACTGCTCAAACAGGGCAAGCACCGAATGACCCGGTTTTCGTGTCTTTGCAGGGGAAAATCAAGCGTTTCAACATGGGGCCATAGTCTAAAGGCAGCAGGCTGGCAACCAGGCTCCTCCAATGCACAGTGGCGAGATTGGTCTCGTCACAGTATGTATTTTCTAACTCGCGTTGGACTAAGATGGAACTTCCTCCATCTCATATCCCGTTTTTCGGACTGTTTCCCGCTTCTGCATAGTGGACACTTTACTAGGATAGGTGGAGCGTACCGCTCCTCTATGGACACCCTAGTCGGGACCTCTTATTTCTTTTGCTGGCGGATATCCCTAGAAACTGTAGACTCTTGTTTTGGCGCTCACTCGGTTCAGGGTGCATCCACATCAAAGGTTTTTCCGGCGGGTGCTTCGTCTACCAACATATTGCGATCTGCGGACTGGACTAGAGATAGTTCATTTCGTGTTTGTTCATTCCGTCATGTTTCTCATGCTTCTTTTGCTCCTCATCCACAGCTTTAAAAATGCAAAATACGAAGCTTCCTGTCATGTTATAAAATTGTAGATTATGCTAACGCAGTGTACCTATAATCTTAATTTTATTAAGGACAGGAGGCGAGTATTTTCCCACCCTTTTTTCCCCTCCCTGTTTATATAATTAATTTGTTTGTACTTCAATAAAGATTTGAATACAGGGGTATGTGTTTATTTCATTATTATGTGATTTATTTTATATCACACATCTTGAGTTTGCGATTATTATGTTATATTACTTATTACATACAATTTTACTATATATATATATATTAATTAATGTATTTATCCTCAACTACCTATTATTCCTGTTACAAAAAATGTTATGGTCTCATTTGGTAAATTCCCCTCTTTTATGAAGCGCTGCGGAATAAGCTGGCGCTATATAAATAGAAATAATAATAATGACGAACAGTTCATTTCCAAGTCCCTTTCACGTCTTTTGTTTCTTTTCAGTTTGATTCTTCTTCATGGATCGATACATGGGATCGTCTTCACACTCTACGACAATCATCCATTCGGGATTCGGATCGTTTACAGTCTGAATCTTCATTGTTATCGTTGTTTATTGTGTTTACAGGATGCTTTGATGGTTATATTGCATCAAAGAAAGAGGAAGTGATACACGGGGAGGGGCCTTTTATACCCTGTTGCAATTTTTTTTCATTAAACTTTATTGTTAAATCTGTGCTGCTAGAGTTTTAGTAAAGAGAGACAATGCAAAATACTTGCCTCCTGTCCTTAATAAAATTAGATTATAGGTACACTGCGTTAGCATAATCTACAATTCTGCACAAATTAAAAGAATGGTTTGTGAAAACTCTTTAAAGGACCACTATAGGCACCCAGAGCACTTCAGCTCAATGAAGTGGTCTGGGTGCCAGGTACATCTAGGGTTAACCCCGCAGCTGTAAACATAGCAGTTTCAAAGAAACTGCTATGTTTACATTAGGGTTAATCCAGCCTCTAGTGGCTGTGTCATTGACGGTATAGGCGCTTCTCATTGTGAGTCAATGGACTGATTGAATGCGCGCGCGGCTCTTGCATTCAGTGCTGACGTCGGAAGAGGGAGGGAGCTCGGAAAAGGTAAGTGATTAAACCTCCCCTTTCAGCCCAGCGGAAGGGGGGCCATAAGGGTGTGGGAGACCTAAAGATCCTATAGTGCCAGGAAAATGAGTTTGTTTTCCTGGCTCTATAGTGGCCCTTTAACTCCATGGTGATTCGACTGTGCTCATGGGATCTGAGTGCTGTTCGGATATATTGAGCACTCAGATCCAAGCTATCTGGGGATATGTCGAATGTGAGGGTCCAGTTGTGTGAAATATGAGTTATGTATTTTAATGTGTATTATTACAGTTATACATTATAAATATTTTCTGTACCCGGAGATAATTAAGTTTACTACGGCCACTTAACCCAATTATCTCCAGGATAGAGGGGAGGGATTTTACTGTTTCTGTGGGAGTGATTCACATTGTGAATCAAGGTCCATGTGGCAGTGTCCCTTGCTGGAGGACCTGCATAAAAGGCCGAGCTGTGGCCACCATTAAACAGACTGTTTTTACCCCTTCATGAAGTCTGGGCTCATGTTTGGGGGATTGGGAGCTATAATCCACAGTATAAAACAATTTAATATGAATAAAATATTTAAAAAATGGGAGGAAATAAGTTTTGACATTTTAACTGTGAATATCATAATACTGTTTGCTTTTACTGCAATAAAATACATTTGTATTCAGCGATGTCTCATGTGTATAACAGTACTCCCTATGTACAGGTTTTATGGTGTTTTGGGAAGTTACAGGGTCAAATATAGCATGTTAAATATTTCACATTGAAATTCGCCAGATTGGTTACATTGCCTTTGAGACCGTATGGTAGCTGAGGAATGAAAATTACCCCCATGATGGCATACCATTTGCAATAGTAGACAAACCAAGGTATTGCAAATGGGGTATGTACAGTCTTTTTTAGTAGCCACTTGGTCACAAACACTGGCCAAAGTTAGTGTTAATATTTGAATGTGTGTGAAAAATGCACAAAAACTAAGCTGAATGCCAATTTTGGCCAGTGCTTGTGACTAAGTGGCTACTAAGAAAGACTGGAAATACCCCATTTGAAATACCTTGGGTTGTCTACTATTGCAAATGGTATGCCATCATGGGGGTAATTCTTATTCCTGGGATGCCATACGGTCTCAAAGGCAACGTAACCAATCTGGCTAATTTCAATGTGAAAAAACTGAAACGCAAGCCTTATATTTGACTCTGTAACTTTTGAAAACACCATAAAACCTGTACATAAGGTATACTGTTATACTTGGGAACTTTGCTGAACACAAATATTAGTGTTTTAAAACAGTAAAAAGTATCCCAACAATTATATCGTCAGTGTAAGTGCCATTTGTGTGTAAAAAATGCAAAAAGTTAAAATTTCACTGACCATATCATTGTTGTAATACATTTTACTGTTTTGAAACACTAATATCTGTGTTCAGTGAAGTAAAACCGTAACCCCCC